CGGCTCAAGCTACCCATTATCTGAAATTCCTTCCAGATTCTCAAGTGTTATATAGCTCTCAAAAGTTGATAATTCATTTAACTCATTGATAAAATCACAATTTTCTTCCTGAGGTTGACGCAGTGCTTGATTCATGGAAAATGTGATTTTATCGCCACCGAAGCTCAATGAAATGTTACCTTGGGCGATGTTTATAGTAGATTAAGCGGTGGCCAGGAAAGGTCTCCATAGTATGATTGGAATTTCTCGATCTTCGCTCATTTCCATAATAATGAAATCTGCAGGGAAAATAAATTTGTTTACTTGCACGAGTACATCACGAATGATTCATTTTGGAAGTTTTATTGATTTATCGGCAAACTGAATTACAGTTCTACATGCTTCTAATTCGTAAAGCCTTAATTTAGAGAAAAACGAGAAGGGCATAAGATTGATACTTGCTCCTAGATCACATAATGCCCTAATCGGTCTAAATTTCCTATAGTACAAATAATAATAAAAATCCCAGGATCGTTGAGTTTCTTTGGGAGGTCCTCCTAAAATACGGCGCTGCACACACTCTCCAGCTGCACCGCTGCCGCTTCATCAAGGAATGCCCGCTTCCGATTGATTATATCTTTGATAAACTTAGCCTAATGTGGCATCTATGACAAAGCATCAACAAACGGTATAGTAATTTGAAGACTACGGAAAGTATGTACAAACTTATCAAATTCCTTGGAGTTGTCCTTTTTCCCAAGTCGTGTAGGGAAGGGGGCTCGAGCCAAAGGCTGAGAGGACCCTTCTCCTTCTGCTCAGGCACCCGAGCGGCTGGTATCGCTTGTGGTTGGGATGGACCCTCTTCCTCAGTTAGAATCTGTATACTTTCATCCTGCATAGGCACGTTAGCAAAATAGGGGTAGGAGAATTATTAATATCTCTGTCTGGCAGCGGTGGCTATTGCGTCCGCTTCCCACCCCTTGTTTCGATGACCTTTGCTTGGTTCGGGACAGTCTCGACTGTCCCAGGCAACGTTCCTTTTTGCTTCAGCTTCATAGCTTCAGCTATCTGTCCGACTTGAATTTCCAGCATTTTGATCGAAGCAGATGTGTTTCTTTGGAACTCATGATTTGCCCGCTCTGTGTTCCTCCAGAGCTCCTCCAGACTCAGCGGTGCTTGAGCCGCTGTAGGAGGTTGGGTAAATGCAGGTGCTTGCTGCGGAAAGTAGGGGTTTGAAAGTATTGTTGTTGATGTGGATAATGTCCCCTTGATGATATTGTTGCGCAACGAACTGTTGTGGCATTTGAAATTGTTGCTGAGGGGGCGGTCCAGCGGGGCCTTGAGCCTGCCCCTTTTGGAACTGCTGGAATTAAGGGGCATTCCTGCCAGCCATATAGTAGACCTCCGCTGGGTTCTGAGCTTCTTATGCGGAGCACTCAGCAACCTACGGACCTTGATGGTCTATGAAGGCGTTTTCCTCAACTTTTGCGGTCTCATGCAGCGCATGTTTCCCTTTATTACGCAAGCCCTACTTCATGAGCTTAGACAGCTCTTTGACTTGGATAGACAGACTGTCTATCCGTGCATCGTGAGAAGCAGGAACCTGGTTCAAATTCCTCGATGGCTCGGGCCTGTTGGATTCTGGCCAACTTGTTTGATTGGCCGCCATTTTTTCGATCAAAGCCCTCGCTTCTAAGGCACAACACCCCATCAACGAGCTTCCTACAGTTGCATCAAGCGATATCCTCAGTTCAGGAGTGATTCCTGAGTAGAAAATTTGAAGCTCCATGAAGTCCGGAATTTCATGATGAGGGCAGTTGCGGAACAATTGTTTGTATCGGCTCCAAGCTTTGGGAAGGGTCTCGTCACTCGTCATCTTGAAAGTTAATATTTCATTCCTCTGACGAATGGTTTTTGATACATGATGATATTTGCTCACAAAGGTCTACGTTGCTTCTTTGAAAGAGCCAGGAATGGGATAGAGATTATCAAACAATTTCCTGGCTTGATAAAGAAAATGGAAACAGAATCAGCTTGGCAGCGTCCTCCGTGATGCCGTGAGATTTGGATGTGGCAGCGATCCTATTGAAGTTCTGCAGATGCTCGTATGGGCTCTCATTGAGTAGCTCATGAAATTGGCTCTGGCTCGCCAGGCTGACGAGCGCTAGTAATTAAAGTATTATCCAGAAGGAACTGGTAGTGAACGTCCATGGGGACTTCGGCAAGCGAGCGTTCAGCAGCCTTGTGTCTCTCAGCCCTCTGGTTAGGCTCAACAGTAGGTGGTGGGGGAGTGATGGCAGCGGGAGTCGCAGCGGTATTGGCAGCTTGAGCTGCTTGGGAAGCGATAAACGCCCCCTGCGCGGCTTGAGCTTTCTCCACCTGAGCGAGGTGCGTTTGCAACCCCGCCATTCCCTGTTGGATGCTACTGAGGGCTCTCATGAGCTGTTCCTCAGTCTGTGTCAGTGCGTGGGGAATGACAGTAGGGACTACAGTGGGATATGACAGTCTGTTCCTCAGTTTGCTTGTATCTTTAAAATTTCAGTTAGATTTCCATTGTGAAAGTTTATTGTTGTTGCTGTTGTTATTTTTTTTTTCTACTTTTTTTTGTTGAATACTGGAATGGAAAGTATGATTTGTTACTTACCATGTCTTTTGAATTTCATTAGCTATTTCCCATGATTTAAGTTTTTGTTAATGTGTGGGATCAATTTAACACATCCATAGCATCAGTGCTCAATTAATAATTTTCTAGGTTCTTATTGCCACTGTTCTATGATTCCCCTGTTATGCTAAGGCTCAAGCATGGTTATGGTGTCATTAGTGCTCAGTTGGAATGATTCGAGATTTTTAATTATTATTTGAATATTTTTTGATATTATGAAGCTGATATCATTTATATCGATACAGTGAACTTGTTTTGGTGGTTTGTCTGTTCATAATGTTAATAGGTTGTATGCATCGTGAATGTAAATGCGAAGTAAGGTATGCTTGGTATTTCATGTTAGTTTATTGAGTTGTTTGTTCAATTCATGCTATTAGTTCACTGCTTGATTATTGCCTCTCGGCCATGTCTATTCTAATCGATAGGATTAAAATGCTTATAAATTTTTAAGTAGCTGTTAGATAAAATATTGCAATGTTTATTTTAATACGTTATACATATTATTGTGTTTACATGAAATACTCTTAGCTAGCATATGGTTGATTTTCGATTAGTTTATACCAGGTAAAAAATAGGACGAAATGAATTGTTAGCACAGTTGTAGGCTTATGATAATTTAATCGTGCTGGTTGAAGGACTAATTATGTCTAAATTTTTTTTTTAATTGTATGTGAGTTTAATTTCTTAAAGTGTACTAGTGATAAGTTGGATAAGATAATAATATCCAATCCAATTACTCAAATTAAACAAGGTCCTAATGAAAAGAGTCCTCTTGTTGCAGGCACTGCAGTGCAGGTATTGAGGAGAAAGAATCTATCAAGCCAGCAAATTCAGATAATAGTACTGCTAATCTCTGCTGTTCGCCTGGTATTATGCCGCTGGATTACCAAGAGGGGACTTGGTTTAACGTAGAAAACTTGGAGCTCAGTTCTATTGCTAATTTGAGCTTGTTTATAAATGACTTGCTGCAATCCAGCGATCCTAATTCACTGGAAACTGGTTATGTGAGGACCTCCTCAATGAATAAGCTGTTGGTGTGTAAGGTTGACATATTGAAAGCACTTGAAGTGACTGAATCCAAGATAGATTCTCTTGAAACTGAACTCAAGACTCTGTCTGCTGGATGCAACAGCTGCCATCCATGTCCAGCTGCTTGCCACTTGAAATCTGGAGAGCCCCTTTTAGAACCTTGTGAAGAGCATGCTGCTGCTTCTGGTAGTACTGCTGTTCCTCCTCCATTGCAGATTGCATCATTTGGGAGCCTGGTTGATGAGGATGCATCTGCTGCCCAGGAAGGAGAGGCTATGGAGGCGAAGGATGAAGACATTGATAGTCCACATACAGCAACTTCTAAACTTGTTGGGGCTGTAGTAATGTCTGGGGAAGATACTTGCACTTCCAAGATGGCAGAAAGTGTTGAGGGCTCTGTTATGCTGAACCCAGACATTTCCAGTAACTTGAATTCTGCTTTGTCAGAGAATGGGGTGGGCAACCAGGATAATGTGTGTCCTGTTTATGTTCCTAGTTCCATTTTGAGGACCTCATATTGCTGTAGAGTCGAGGGTGATATGCACTAGAATACTTGAGACATGGAATTTCTCTAAATGATATGCGGAGAATGACAGGATAGAGGAGGATGAAAGGAAAATCAATGGTTCCTTCCACACATATGTACTCAAAAAAGCATTCTATACTTTCCCAACAGAGCATCAGAAGTGCTCTCTTCAAATTAAAGTAGCAAATGATTCAAAGTACCAATAATATCAGCATAGATCAACATTAAACACTTCCCCTTAGTGGAGCATCATAGCATATAATACACAAAAACTTGAAGCTGACATTGGAAGTAGAAGAGTACAGTGTTTTAAGCCTACAACAAAGACCTCTTCAGTCTTCAGGTACTTAAAAAACCAGTCAAAAGTGTCATGCAACATTACCAGAAGATGCTAAACATTCCTTGAATAAACAAGAAATGCATGCCCTGATGCATCAAATCCACCAAAAATTTAAATATCTCAGAGTCTTTACATCACTTCCCCTGGAATTTAAACAACCACATGAAGTATCATTCTGTAGAAAATGTTAAGAATGGAGATCAATAAATCTCATTCAAAGATTATTTGGAAACTGATACTTAACTCTCACCTTCTTACCATTTTTTATATCATGTTTTAATGAGCCAAAAGCAGCATTCCTATTAGTTTTGTATTAACATTTAACAAGGATCGAACTCCAGCTCTTCAAACTTAATAGTGTGTCAAGTTATGAGGAGATCCAAAGGCCATTGGAGTAAGTATGATATAGTAAATAAAAGCTATATATGAAAAAATATAGATAGGAGTGGAACACAAAAGGAAGCAACACATCAAGGCAAGAATCATAGCAAGATAAATACTTAACAAAATAAGAAATACGAGACTGAACGGAGGATCAATTCCTTCTATACCCAGTTTGACTTAGATCAAACATCTTGTGAGACTTCCTCTGAAGTTTCCTTAGAGGAGGAACAGCAGTACTACCAGAAGCAGCAGCATGCTCTTCACAAGGTTCTAAAAGGGGCTCTCCAGATTTCAAGTGGCAAGCAGCTGGACATGGATGGCAGCTGTTGCATCCAGCAGACAGAGTCTTGAGTTCAGTTTCAAGAGAATCTATCTCGGATTCAGTCACTTCAAGTGCTTTCAATATGTCAACCTTACACACCAACAGCTTATTCATTGAGGAGGTCCTCACATAACCAGTTTCCAGTGAATTAGGATCGCTGGATTGCAGCAAGTCATTTATAAACAAGCTCAAATTAGCAATAGAACTGAGCTCCAAGTTTTCTACGTTAAACCAAGTCCCCTCTTGGTAATCCAGCGGCATAATACCAGGCGAACAGCAGAGATTAGCAGTACTATTATCTGAATTTGCTGGCTTGATAGATTCTTTCTCCTCAATACCTGCACTGCAGTGCCTGCAACAAGAGGACTCTTTTCATTAGGACCTTGTTTAATTTGAGTAATTGGATTGGATATTATTATCTTATCCAACTTATCACTAGTACACTTTAAGAAATTAAACTCACATACAATTAAAAAAAAAATTTAGACATAATTAGTCCTTCAACCAGCACGATTAAATTATCATAAGCCTACAACTGTGCTAACAATTCATTTCGTCCTATTTTTTACCCGGTATAAACTAATCGAAAATCAAACATATGCTAGCTAAGAGTATTTCATGTAAACACAATAATATGTATAACGTATTAAAATAAACATTGCAATATTTTATCTAACAGCTACTTAAAAATTTATAAGCATTTTAATCCTATCGATTAGAATAGACATGGCCGAGAGGCAATAATCAAGCAGTGAACTAATAGCATGAATTGAACAAACAACTCAATAAACTAACATGAAATACCAAGCATACCTTACTTCGCATTTACATTCACGATGCATACAACCTATTAACATTATGAACAGACAAACCACCAAAACAAGTTCACTGTATCGATATAAATGATATCAGCTTCATAATATCAAAAAATATTCAAATAATAATTAAAAATCTCGAATCATTCCAACTGAGCACTAATGACACCATAACCATGCTTGAGCCTTAGCATATCAGGGGAATCATAGAACAGTGGCAGTAAGAACCTAGAAAATTATTAATTGAGCACTGATGCTATGGATGTGTTAAATTGATCCCACACATTAACAAAAACTTAAATCATGGGAAATAGCTTATGAAATTCAAAAGACATGGTAAGTAACAAATCAGACTTTCCATTCCAGTATTCAACAAAAAAAAGTAGAAAAAAAAGATAACAACAACAACAACAATAATCTCTCACAATGGAAGTCTAACTGAAATTTTAAAGATACAAGCAAAAAGAAACACAGAAAGGAAATCTAAAAGATGAAATATATAAATATATATACACAGATATCTGAAATCGCTTTCCTATATCCCAGCACATGCTCCACAAGTAAATCAAAAAGAGACACAAGTGAAGCAGAGCACCGCCGTGTTGCTGCCAGTATTGTAATCGAAATTGCAATTATTCGAGTAAGAGGGTGGTTGCACTGCCCGATCGTAACATGATTGGTATTATTATTATTATTATTGTCATCATCATTGTTGTCTTGAACATGCGGCAGCATTTTTTATGCTCTTGGCAGGCTGCCTAAGTGGAGATGGTAATGGTCGGAAGATGGCGGCAGGAGCGGGGATACCTCTTGTTGATATTGTCGTCGGTAATAGGAGAGATGGTGCAGAACAAGATGGAGCTCCTCCTGAGCCATTTGAATCTGGTGGGTGAAGTGGCGAATGCCGATGATCCGTGGACGGGATACTTGTCGCACATGGCTGCATGGTACTTAATAGAGCCGATGATGGCAATGGACGATTCTGAAACATTTTGAGCTGATCGGTGGGGAAGAATGGGGCCAGAAGGCATTCCGCTGTGTAAGGTGCACACGCCTCACTGCTGGCTATTGCTATTGCAGGTATTATTATTATTCTTTTTATTATTACTACCTCAGTTCATAAATGATATTCATTTGATTTTTCACGGAGTTAACAAACCCTAAAAAATCAAAGCATCCGCTATAAAATCAAAGCATCCGTTATAGTAATTTTTTTCATAATCTTCGTCATTGTCTTTTCAGTTTTTTATTATAACAAAATTCATTGTTTAAATTTATTACCTTAGATAAATGACTCATTACCTTCAACAAAAAATAAATAAAAATAAATTAAAAATTATCCAAAATTTTAAAATTTAAATTTAATATAAATTATTTATAAATATATTTAAATTTCATTAACCAATTATCTACTTTTCATATTCAATTCAACGAGATGGCCAGTAAAATACCAATTTTTTCAATAAGTTCTTGAATCTATATAAATTAATATTTAAAAGTTAAAATATAATATTATATATAATATATTATTAATTTACACAATACAAATTTTTACAAATAAATAAATAAATACAATAGTAAATAAAATGAAATATGTATATATATACACATTCAATTAAAAATAACAACAAAACTATAATAATACATAAATATATGCAAGTAACAAGAATGCGTAAATCATATTTGAGATGTTTAAAAAATAAAGTTTTTGTTGCTGAAAGAAATTTTTTTTTTCAGATGACAATCTTCTCCAATAAAAGAAATAAAATTTTTGTTGCCTGAAGAACAATACTCTTGCCTTGCCTTGCCTAAAAAAAAAAAAAAAAAAAAAAAACATGCTGTAAAACTTGTTTAAAAGGAGGACACGCTGCCTGAAGAAATAGAAACACCCTATAAAACTTGCCTGAAGAAAAAAAAAGAAGAACATCCTGTAAAACTTGCCTGAAGAAATTTTCTTCTCCGGATGGCAATCTTCTCCAATAAAAGAAATAAAATTTCTGTTGAGGAACAACACCCTTGTCTTGCCTGAAGAAAATTAAAGAAAACACGTTGTAAAACTTGCATTAAGAAATAAAAGGAAAACACCCTGAAACTCGCCTGAAGAAATTTTTCTCCGGATGTCAATTTTCTCCGATAAAAGAAATAAAGTTTCATAATTCACTATAAAACTTCAGTGAAAATGATAAATATATATATTATATAATAAAAATATATAGAAATAAATAAATATTGTAGGTCTTATAAAATAATAAAAGTAATACGTGGAGGTGATTTATTATAACGAGTGATAAATAAAATAATATGAATATTAAGATTAATATGATATTAATGAAAAAAAAAAAAAAAAAGTTGGATAAAGACAATGACGGTAAGGAATGCTTTCCGAAGGGGTACGGTGAAAGGCAAGACCTATATACCAACTTCCAACAAGTATTTGTGCACGAAGCACGAGGCCACCATGCCGCCACGTCACGTCGCTTGAGCTGGGGCACTGGAAATTACAGTTGCATGCCTACAATTGTCTCGTACGTGTTTAAAACATTTAATTAGATCTGTGAATAAGGTTTTTGATAAAATTTATGGAAATAATTTGTTTATAATTATTACCATAAAATAAATAGTATTGTTACGTACGAAATTTAGAATTAGGTTAAAAGCCCAAGGTAAAAAAGAAGAATGGGCCTGGCAATAGGGTTGATTGAACTGGCTGAAGGACACCGTGAGGAAATCAAGGAAAATAAATTTATTTATTTATTTCTAAGGAAAATACAGGACGGAAGGTTCTCAGGTCGGTAGGTCCTCAGGACGGAAGGACTTCAGGTCGGTAGGTCCTCAGGACGGAAAGACCTCAGGTCGGAAGGTCTTCAGGTCAGTAGGTCCTTAAGACGGAAAGTCATTAGGACGGAAGGACCTCAGGTCGGTAGGTCCTCAAGACGGAAGGACCTCAGGTCGGAAGGTCTTCAGGTCGGTAGGTCTTCAAGACGGAAAGTCATTAGGACGGACGGACCTCAGGTCGGTAGGTCCTCAAGACGGAAGGACCTCAAGTCGGAAGGTTTTCAGGTCGGGAAGTCCTCAAGACGGAAAGACCTCAAGTCGGAAGGTTTTCAGGTCGGGAGGTCCTCAAGACGGAAAGACCTCAAGTCGGAAGGTTTTCAGGTCGGGAAGTCCTCAAGGCGGAAAGACCTCAAGTCGGAAGGTTTTCAGGTCGGGAAGTCCTCAAGGCGGAAAGACCTCAAGCCAGATGGTTCGCAAGTCGGGAGGATTGGCGGTCGGACCCATACTATTGTAGATTGGCAGTCGGGCCAAAAGAGCGGAAGGTCTGTGGTCGGCTCAAGGAGTGAAATATAGGGAATTTTTGGTCTGCTGGGGACACGTGTCAGCATAAGAAAGGTTGGAAGACGGTTGAGAAGGAGACGTTGTAACCGTTCGGGTGACGGTTTTCAGTACGGTTTCCCAGGGAATATTTAAGGATTTGGATCATCATTTGGCAAGGGATCTTCAATCAACTTCAACAAAGCAAAGTCAGATTTGGGGATCACCACTTTAAATTTCAGTCTTTTATTTTCCAGTTTATTTTCTGTACCATACAGTGTTTAGAGATTCCTAATCTCAGGCACTAATTAATCAAGTTTAAGGATATTTTCTATATCTTTGAATTTTACTTTATTTTTGTTGAAAAATTACATCAACAAATTGGCGACCACAGTGGGAGCAAGACAAAATTGCTCATTCCAATTCCGGCGATAATTTCATACGTCTTAGATCCGGCCGAATCATCGGAAGGGTCCATATGGCAGGGTCACAACCGCAAGCATCTTCGACACCGGTGGGAGAATCCGTTCCACCACCCATTGTGCCAAATGCCGGGGACATCCCACAACCACCAACTGATTGGTGGTCTTATGTTCAACAAATGAACAACCAGCATACCTTGGTTATGCAGAATATGTTGCGTGAGCAACAAACGAACATGTTGCGTGAGCAACAGAGTCAGTTGCAGAACATGATAGATCAAGCATTGTCAAGGGTTAGTCTTCAACCCACTCAAACGCCACCAGGAGTGTCACCGTCCAGACCACAGGCAAATTTCGCAGGGCCATCATTCGTGGATAGTACATTCCCAAGTGCCACAAATCCCAACCGAATGGATCGGGGAAAAACTCCTTTGACTTTTCCCAACAATGTTCCACTGGGACCAAGGGTTACCAATTCGCAGCCGAACAATACAAGGGAGGACAGGCCTGAAGGATATATACATGATCCGATTCATATTCCTGTGCAGGATCCGTTCCAGGTTCCTGATCATCAACGCTTTCATGTAGATCCTGATGAGATTGCACATATATTAAGGGATCAGTATGGATTAACTCCTCAGATGGCTAACCGCCCTGCATATCAAAGACCTTTCCCAGAAAGGATCATTCATGAACACCCTCTCCCAAGGAATTTTCGACCACCCGACTTTCATGCATTCTCAGGGGAGGACGGATCTTCCACCATAGAACATGTTGGTCGGTTCACAGCACAATTAGGAGAGGTTGGCAATAACCCTTTTTATAAGTTACAGCTGTTTGGTTTGTCTCTTACCAGAACGGCGTTTTCATGGTTTGTAAGTCTACCTCCTGGACAAATTCAGACATGGGAAGGATTGGAAATGGCATTTCACGCTAGATTCTTTAATCCTTTACCAGTTGTTTCTTTAACTGATTTACTTGAATTGAGACAGTATCCAGAAGAAACTGCTTCACAGTTTATAGAAAGGGTACGATTGATGAAGGGACGATGTCCTACGGTAATCAGTGAGAAAGAGATGACCAATTTAGTGGTCCGGAATATGCATAATCGCTTAAGAAAGGCACTCACTGCCCTGGATGTTGAGGATTTGGCAAATCTTGCATCCAAGGCAGGACGTCTAGAGTCTTTGTTCAGAGAGGAAGAGCAGCATAACAGGCGTAATAGAGGCCAACATATGGCGAGTATGGGAACAGAAACATGCGACTTTGATTTTAATCAGTCAGAAGAGATGGCAGCCGAAATCCTTTCTGGAAAACCGTATGTATGTCCTAAATTGAAGCCAGTACCAGGATCTGAAGGAAAGGAGCAACCGACCTTTGATAGTTCGAAAGCTGATGAAATCTTTGATATCCTACTGACTGATGGGCAGATTCGTATTCCAAAGGGCCAAAGACTTGCCACTAAAGAAGAAATCAAAGGGAGACCATATTGTAAGTGGCATAATTCTTTCACACACACTACAAGTCAGTGTACTCATTTTAGGAAGGAAATTCAAAAAGCCATCAAGACAGGTCGGCTCAAATACATCACTTTAGGTGTAGACCAGCAACCATTTCCGAAACTAACAACTGCAATGGTTGACATCCAACCAAGTTCGGAAACAAGGAAAAGTTCGGTCAATAGTGGACAAACAGGGGAGCAAACTAGTCCCGGAAAAAAGAAAGGGAATCAGCCAAACAGCAGCCGACCGGAAGAACGACTCAAGGTTGTTGAAAGGCCAGTCGCTGAAAAATGGGACCGTCCAGACGGTTCTTTTAACGTGGAAGTGAAGGAAAAGGTTTTAGTGAAAGACCACCCGACCAGAAAAACGGGTTCAGTCGGGAACGAGTGGGCTCGAAATAAAAAGCCTTTACCCGTTGATATAGATCCTCGTTTCCCAGGTATGAATCGTACACAGATTCGCAATGCCAAACGCAGGTATGCTGCAAAGTATGGGAAACGAGTTCCTGCAGTGCAACAAAGAACCGACGAACAAACTGCGGCCGACCACTTGACAGGAGATCAGTCCATTAGAGTCTTTACAGAACAAACGACCGACGAGCAGGGAGCGGCCATTCAGTCTCCAATAAGTCGGTCCAGTCGGGTCTGGTCAGGAAAGCAACCGAAGGACGGATTAGGAGCTTCCGACTATACCAAAAGAAGTTCGTCGGGACAGGGGAAAGGTAAGGGAATGGCACATGAAATAATTAAAGGTTTTAGATGCCAACATTGTGAACGGATCAACATCAATCCATCTCTGGAAGAATTT